AACTCCCTTGTAAAACATTAATAATATCAGCCCATGTTATCCTCTGCATCTTTCCCCGAAATTATCTGTATCTATGCCCGCTACCCCAAAGATGTCCCAAACTCAATATGACTAATAATCTGTCTCTGTATATCTGATCCCCGAACCCTTGTTTACCCGATCTGTCAATCAATATAAATAACAGCATGTTTATTTATTCTTATTTCTGTATTCAAGATCTTATCTATTTTTCCTGTTTCTTTGAATAAACCTTTTTCTACCTACATTCCTTTTATATATATATTAGTACTAATAGATATATATTTTCTCTTTGCCTTGTCCCTCACCTTAATAATCATTCTGTTCTGCTCTTGCCCCGCCCCGCTCCTGACAGTCTCTAACATAAAGAAGGTAAGACACATTACATTCGGACATATAAGCCCGAAAATACTTGGGTCAACTACGCTAAACGTTTGACGGACACAGTAATAAGCCTTGTTATAACAGTCATAGCTTTATATAGAGTATATATCTCCGAAATATTACGAACAGAGAACAATTATTGACCAGAAAACGACAGATTTTAGCAAAAAAAGTCGACGTTGCAGAATACTTATTAATTGTACCATATGCTTGAACAAGCCGTACTTGTAACAGTTTTAGAATTTTCTAGCTTATGTTGAAACAATATATAAACACCAAACAGTCACGGAACAATGGATTTACTAAAAACACGAATAGTTAATAGTTGATGGAATGTTTTAACAAAGCAGCAACTTTTCACCCAATTAAATGCTTCCGTTCTTTTCCAAAGAGTCTGTCAATTACATACGAGATAGGCCGAACATAAACTGACACATTAACGAACAAAATACGTTAAAAAATAAATAAAAAAAAGGACACGTAAACAAAAGCAAAAAAATATTTCTCAGAAGTTGAAAAAAACTTTTTAATGACATGGGAAAAGATTTGTTACGTTTGGAATAGTAATCTTTAAGCGTAAAATCAATTAAAAAAATGTAGAAAGGACGATAGTCTGTTTATATGTCAACTGGTATTTATAAATGGCTAAAATGTAGCGATTTATCACGAATTTATTTTTAAGTAAATTGAAGTCACGTACAATATTAGCCGTAATAAGAAATCATCAAAAGGACAAGGCGATTATTTATACGCCAAACATCTACTTAGAGTGTATTTATGGAATGACGACGCGTAAGAAAGTAATAACTCCCAAAGCATGAATAACAACATGACTCTTTTTAACAATTTCCGTGCATATTTTAACCAAACACAAAGATCTTCGGATCAGCTTACAATAGTTGCAGTAACGATGGACAGGAAACATAAAATATCTGACAGTTGATTTGAAGAACTTCTTAGTGGGTTGATAATGACAAAAGTTTTTTGCAGTGTCTCGCCCCTGTTTGTACCAAGTAAAAGAAGTATTGATCGATGACTGAGAAAAATTACCGATATGTCAAAAAAAATCAAACAACAGGTAAGTAATGAGCCTTTGCACAAAACTCAGAATCGAAGGCAGATTGAAGTAGTTTAAGATTTCATTAAGCACTACGTTTACCGCGAGCAGAATCTGTAGATAATGAATTGAATCCGTATTGAACTAAATGCCTCCATGAATAAGTAAAAAATGAAAATATCACAAGATATTGTTTTTAAGACAGATTTAAATGACCACAAAAACAGAAGTAATTAAAACAACATCTTATGCACTTCTCGCAAGAGTTTGAAAACAGGAAACTAAAGTGTGGTATCAATCAGAAAGAGATTGCCAGAAGGAAAATATTTTATGGAAAGACAGAAAAGTCTTTCTTAGAAGTTGAAAAGTACTTAAAATGCTTATAAAAACATCGTAATAATGTAACTAAGCTGAAAAAAGTCACCCCAAGCTGTTTAAGCAACTACAAAAAAGTCCATCACCAAAAATGATCAAGTGAAGGACAAAATAATAAAGTAGGAACTATAAGGTCGGAGATTGTTGTGTAAAATATAACAAACGATATGTGACCACATAATTAAATGTCTGTTTAATCGATCTAGCACATAAGAGGGCGACGTCCTAGAAAATATAGTAAGGATTAAACAACATTAAACAAAGTACCAAACGTACGAAGCCAATATAGGAATTGGTGGAAGATACATATTCTATCAAAGGATCTTGTTCATCAACGGTTTTTGAAATAATTTCAGCGTAGGCCAGAGAAGTATTCCACCAAGTACAACGAGTTTACAATCATCATACAATCGTCATAAAGTCTATATGGAGTAATTACAGAGAACGAGATAAGGTTTTTATCGGCCGTATAAATGAAATGAGACATGCTGAAGAAGATCTGGTATTTCTAAGCGTCTTTTTGTGTGGGATTTATTGTTATTCCATCAATATTCTCAAAGAATAGACATATGGATTAAAGAGACGAAAATGGTCTAAAATAAGTTTGTTACGACCACATCCGGAAATGAAGGAGAAGCCGATTGAATATAGATTAAGATAGAGAGTATGTCAACACATGCCATGTAAGAAAAACACCAATTGACGCATTGTGGGACTAAATACTTTATTAAAATCAAGAAAAAAAAGATAATATTATAAAATAATAGTTTCTTAGTGACGTTTATATGATGGGACCTTGATAAATCGCTCTCCCATGACATGCTATTAATCTTCATAACTGTTAAGAACCAACCGCCTAAACATGGCGCACTAGCAGAAAGAAAGGCAAACAAAATAAATGTTTTACGTAAATATATACAAAAAAAATATTAAAAGTCTGAATGAATTTATAGCGTCATGGGAGCAGTGCAAATATATTCAGAATTGTCTGCAATATGTAAACAAAAGGCCAGATAGTTCTTGTTGTCAAACCATTCCTAAAAAAATGATGAAGTCATAAAATTTTTTTAAGCCTAAAAGTATGTACAGGTCACAATTAAGGAGAACTGTCATGCTACATATCATACATAATTATGGATTTTAGAGAAAAACTTATATAAGTTACATGGAATGAAAATGGACAAGGACCAAAAAAAATAAAATACCAGCAGAATATTGAGAGCAACATAAAATCCAAGAGCGTCAAGAAGCAAATATAATAACGTACCCAGGTCGATTAAGATGACAAGAGACCCGTGTATTCAAGAAAAAGGTAATTGCCAAGACGACAGACAATTCAATTTATCAAGTAACTAAGACAACAAGATATCTAAGGCGACGAGATATCTTGGGCAACAATATCAGGAAGATAATATGATATCTATGACAGCAAGACATACGGGATAACAGTATATCCAAGACGTCAATGTTACTAAGGTAGCGAAATAACCAAGGCAATAATGTGTCTAAGGCAACGAAATCGCTCAGACAACATGATATCCACGACAACCAGAAACATAAGACAACGAGAAAATATAGACATCCAGATATCTAACGCAACGACGTATCTAAGCGGATAATATATCTAAGATACAAGATAACTAAAACAACAGGGTATCCAAGTGAGCAAGTAACGAAGACAACTATATGACCAAGACACCGACATATCTACGACAACAAGGTGACGAAGACAACCAGGTAAGTAAGACAACCGTATCGATAAGACAACCAAGTATGCAAGACAACCAAGTCCGTAGAGCAACAAGATAGTTAATACAACATGATATCAAAGATAACAAGTATTGACGAAAGGAATGCGAGTAAGACAACCAGATATGTAAGACAACAAAATTACAAGGATTCCAAGGTTTCTATGACAACACGTAACAAAGCAACCAGGTCAGTAGGAAAACAAGATATCTATAACAACAATGTAACTAAGAAAACAGCATATCTATGACAACTCAATACCTATGGCAAAAAGTAAGCTAGGACAACAGGAGATCTATGACAACTCAATATCTATGACAACAACAACAAAAAAAAACTATGACTAACAGAAAACTATAACTACGAAAGATCTATGACTACCAGATACTTATTCCTACGAAATAACTATAACAAATGGATAAGTATAACAACTCGATACATATCACAAATAGATAACTATGAGTAATCATATCACCATGACAATACAGATAACTATGCCTACGAGATAACTATAACAACCACTTAACTATGTCAACTAGTTAACTATGATGAATACATAACCATGTCAACTAGAAGACTATGACAACTAAATACCTATGACAACACGATGAATATGCCAACAACAAAAAAAGAATAACTACGACAATTAGATCATTACGATAAATACAACACTATGAAGATCAGTTATCACCATGACTATGATTAAGCACAATGACTAAGAATGATCACTATGACTATGATTAATCACCATGACTAAGATTGATCACCATGACTAAGAATAATCACCATGACTATGATTAATCATTACGACCGATATTGAACACTATGATTATGATTATTCAATAAGACAACGATCATCACCTAGACAACCATCCAGACATAGACAACTATTCTCTCCTAGACAACTATCCTCATCAAGACAACACCATGATCACCAAAACAACCCCATTATCACCAAGATAACGAGATTACAATTGATAATAAGAAAATAAGAATACACAGATAAGAAAGTAACTAAGACAACAATGAAAAGAAAACAATATAATACTTAAAAGGAAATAATATCCATGACACCACATTAACATAGATAACAATATATCAAAGATAAGAAAGTAACCAAGACAACGGGGATATATATGGCAGCAAACGAACTATAACAACCGGATAACCAATGATTCTAAGTAACTAAGATACCACCAAGACAACCAAGATACCGTCAAGACAACTAAGATATCACCAAGAAAACTAGATAACCATGACAATATAAGTACCAGGCCATTAAAGTATAGCTATGGATAATATCGATCACTATGACAATATTTGATTTCCAAGACGATTAATGAACACTATGGAGAATAAAGAGCACTATGAAAAACAGATCACTATAACCACCAGATTACCATGACCACAAATATCGTTATCTCGACAACACTGTTGCCCATACAACACTGTTGCCCTCGACAACGCTGTTGCCCTCGACAACGCTGTTGCCCTCGACAACGATGTTGCCCTCGACAACGCTGTTGCCCTCGACAACGATGTTGCCCTCGACAACGCTGTTGCCCTCGACAACGCTGTTGCCCTCGACAACGATGTTGCCCTCGACAACGCTGTTGCCCTCGACAACGATGTTGCCCTCGACAACGCTGTTGCCCTCGACAACGATGTTGCCCTCGACAACTCTGTTGCCTACGACAACTCTGTTGCCTACGACAACTCTGTTGCCTACGACAACTCTGTTGCCTACGACAACTCTGTTGCCTACGACAACTCTGTTGCCTACGACAACTCTGTTGCCTACGACAACTCTGTTGCCTACGACAACTCTGTTGCCTACGACAACTCTGTTGCCTACGACAACTCTGTTGCCTACGACAACTCTGTTGCCTACGACAACTCTATTGCCTACGACAACTCTGTTGCCTACGACAACTCTATTGCCTACGACAAGGGGAGTCAGAGGGAGTATAAAGAAAGGTAAGAAGAGAATAAAAGAGAACATAAATCACCAGGGTTAGGGTTAGGGTTAGGGTTAGGGTTAGGGTTAGGGTTAGGGTTAGGGTTAGGGTTAGGGTTAGGGTTAGGGTTAGGGTTAGGGTTAGGGTTAGGGTTAGGGTTAGGGTTAGGGTTAGGGTTAGGGTTAGGGTTAGGTTAGGGT